ATAAAATACTGTTCTCACCTTCTCAGTGCTTCTGATTTTCTCCAGCTTCTTTCACCCACTTTATTTCTACACGTTGCATGTTTTATATTGTTGGCTGAACATCTCTGCTCTGGACCGGCTTCCTGATAGCGACAATGGTAGGCCATGTCTGGGCAATGTATGTGCCAGGAACCTGGAACCTGTGTCGCCGAAGCTCTGTGTGAGCACCTGCATATCTGTGGGCACATTTTGGCACATAGAACTGTGCATGGCCATGTGCCTGTGCATGGGTGTATACACATTTTTGTGTAGGCTCCACAGACTGTGCATGGAACATGCACATGTGCTTGTTAAGAACTGTGGGTTATTTAAGGCTGAGACATCCTAGCCTCCATGCTGAGTGATCTTAGCTGATGTTCCCTGCTATTGAAATTCCTGTATTCTGATTATGATCAGTTACTAACCCAGTTTGTCTTGAGCTTCAGATTGCTGTTCCATATCCTTGACCACGGTTTATTCTTGACCACACTTCTGTTTGCTGTCTTGTACCTTGCCCTCCAGTTATCAACCCGGCCTGTCCCTGACCATGTTTTGCATTCTGTTTTGGTACTACACTGCCCAACTGATTCGGTCTGATCTGGACCTCACTATCAAACATCTGCATTCTTCTCCTTCTTCCTGCCTGGGAGATGTCAGCACTACTTATAACAGAATTCCTGGTGACTACATTATCTTCTGGCACCTGTGCCACTCCTTGAGCACCTCCTCCACCCTCCAGAAGTTCTTGGACAGGAGCAACAAGAGAGGCCGCCTTCATCATCTCAGACTCCACCTAAGTTACGTCACAGTATGTCATCATGGCCACTTGTAATCTCAACCGGGGAACATGTGAAAGGTGACAACACATGAGCACAGTAATGAGGTTATTTTCAACACATGGCAGGAAGTACCTAAACAAGGACTTTCATAGCAGGACCACCAAGCGATCAAACTGCAGATTTTAAAAGACTGAAAACAACTTTTTATATTAGCATGGTAAAGCTACAATTTTAGTGATTTGGTTTAGATCTACTTTACCTTGGGGTGGGGGTGAAACAATTGGATACCAACCCTCTAACCCGTCTGATCATTTTATCTATCAGCACTTCCCAACCTCAGGTGTTGCCTGATCTGGATGAAAACAGAGACTTATTTAATGTCCATTGTTATCTTAGAAGAAGGAAGCTAATTATCTCACCTGTTATTCTGTGAATAGAACTGGAAAACAAGCTTAGCGGCTTTTGATGTCCAAAGTGGAGCATCGCTGCTCTGGCCTCTTTAGTATTTGAATGGAAACATCGGGTTTTGAAGTGGTTGAGTCAAACTGTGAGCACTGTTTTAACCTTTGCTGACAATAAATTACAGAAGTGAATAGTAAATGTATAGAAACCTGGGTAGAAAAATAAAATAAAGTTTACTGGCCGTTGTACAGAGAACAAAAGGTGTCCTTTAGTGGAATGAGCTCATTGCAAACATCTATTGAACTGATCACTACCTTATAAAATGGTGACAGTCAGTGCTAAAGCTGAGCTCCGGGCATAATTTGTAAACCAGCATAAATATCTCTGTACAGAAGCACTCATACTAGGAGAGGGATGATAGTATCTGGGAATAGTTGCGTCACAAGGGGGTGCGGCCCGCACCTGGGTGACACCATTGCAGGGGTGACACCAAAATGACTCACAGTCGTTTTGGTGTCACCCCCTCTAAAAAGTCGGGCACTCGGTCATGGACCGAGAGCCTGACAGTGTCATGAGAGAGGAAGGGGACCTGGCGGCATATCTCATCCCGCCGGGTGAACGTCCCCTCCTCTCTCTGCCAGCGTTCATCACCAAGATGGCCGCCAGCAGGTGTCAGATAGCCAGGCATGCACGATGATGTCATCGCGCATACGTGAGGTGACGTCACACGCGACGACAACCGGCCCCGGACACCCCTGCCTGGGGACATTCAAGTGCCCTGTATTCACATGTGGAAGGAGAAAGCAAAATGATCACCTCATCAGTCTGTTGCTGCTCCTTCACTGTCCAATCACAGTCTGGGGCTGGGAGGAGACTTAGCTGTGTCACTTTTCTGCAGTATAGAAAAGTCAGGTCATCAAACTGGCTGTTATTTGTGGTAGGACTGTGTATATCAGACAGCTATGGCCCTCCAGCTGTGCTTTAACTTCAAATCCCAACATAACTCTGCCTCTGGAAGTTATGCCTGTAACTGTCCGTCTTGCATGCCTCAGGGGACTTGTAGTTCCACAACAGCTGTAGGACTGGAGTTGCCCACCCCTGGTGTAGAGCCTACCACATTGGTAAGATATATAAATCTATTGCAAATTAAAGTAGCTCCCATGTATGTAGTTTAACTGTGGTTTTTGCAATTTGTTTGGAGTGCAGCTTTAAGAGATACGATGCTACAAAAGGGGGGCGCAAGGACATATTTAGTTCTTACAGGCAATTATATAGTGCTTGCAATTAACGCAACACTTTACATACTAATAATTCACATCAGTCCCCATCCTCAAGGAACTTACAATCTCACATACTGATAGTAGGGTAAATTAAGACAAGAGCCAATTAATCTAAAAGCATGTCTTTGAAGTGTGAGAGGAAATTGGAGTACCTGGAGATAACCCATGGATGCACAGAGAGAAAATGCAACCTCCATGCAGATAGTATCCTGGCCGAACCTGGGTTTGAGCTGGGGACTCCATTGCTGCAATGTTGATAGGTGGTGTTAGGCACAATATGATACAATTATAAGAACAAGGGGTATATAGAGCTAAGGAATAGCAAGAGTATGGGTGGGATTAGAATGCCAAAGAACAGTTATATAAAGGTGTATAGAGGGAGACTCGGTAAACAAAATGTGCTATGCATGTGGTGGGTAAGAGGTGCAAGTGGTGTTCACAGTGACCACAGGGGATTGTGCAGGGTAATGAGAAGGGATGCACCAATACTGATACCAGTGTATTTGTCTGTGCTGACACTGAGTATTTAGGTGAGTACTCGTTGTCACCCAAATGCTCCAATACTTACCTAGATACTGGAACTTCGGGCAGTGCCCAGGGAGCATGGACGGCACCTCATGACCCATCACCCAGCTTCATAATGCCTGGGAAGCTTGTGTTCTATCAAAAGAACACAGGCTTCACTTGCCAAGGCTGCCTGGCTTCCTGACCAATCAGGAAGCTGAACGGCACCTCATGACTCGTCACCCTGCTTCTTGATTGGTCAAGAACCCAGGCTGCCTACCAACAAATTAAGCTGGCTTCCTAACGAATCAGGAAGCCGGGCAGCACGTAATGACCCACCTCCTGGCTTCCTGATTGGTCAGGAAGCCAGGCTGCCTAGCAACAAGTGAAGCCGGCTTTCTAGCCAGTCAGGAAACCAGGAGGCGGGTCATGATGTGCCACCCGGCTGCCTGATTGGCTAGGAAGCCAGCTTCACTTGTTGCCTCACATGACCAATCTGGATGCAGTGTGACGTGTCACGAGGTGCCGTCAAGCTTCCTGATTGGTCAGGAAGCAAGGCAGCCTCAACCAATGAAGCCTGTGTTCTTTTGAATTGGTTTATCCCCCACACCCCCTGTCCGGCTCTCCTCAGTGATTGACAGCGGCTGATAGCTTATAGAACGCGTTCACCCAACACACCCCCTGCCTGGCCCTCCTCAGTGATTGACAGCAGCACTTAGCTTCTAGAACTGGTGTACCCACCACACCCCCTGCCTGGCCCTCCTATGTGATTGCCAGCAGCTCCGAGCTTTTGGAACACAGCACACACAGTTGAGGATGTACTTCCCCGAAATGTGTGATGTCATGCGGCATTGCTCACCTGCTTCCTCTCCAGGCATGCCCCCCCTCCATTCACCCCTGCCATGAGGAAGAGTAACATCACAGGAGGCTGTGCAGTCATGTGACCAACATATACAAGATAAAAAAAGGTACACAACTATTTTTTTTTTCAGAAAAGTCAGTGCAATTTGAGTTTAAAAATACTATGGGCTTCAGAAATACTTGAATTCCAATGCATTTCACCAAAATAGTAAAAATGCCCAAAATCTTGTGATCTTCCCCGAAATTTTGAGGAGCTAAAAACTTTCAGTTTGCCTTATACTTGATCATCCGCTTATCCTGACTGTAGCCTGTGATATGTCATGCAATCAGAGCCGACTGGTCTACACTCTTGCTTGTTGCTATGGGATACTACACTTTGCATGCTCTGATCATTTTTATTGGACACAAACCTGCAATGTTACCGATCACTAATGGCGGCTGTACGATTCTTTTTGCATATTACACACCGGCCATGCCGGACACTGCAGATACAGCCACACACCAGGAGAGGGTCACCTGTGCCAAGGGAGTAGCAGCAAGGAAAAAAAGTCCCAGGAAAATGCTGACACCTTGTCTACTTAGCCAGCAGACAATGCATGCTGTCCCTCAGCCTACTCAGCCTCGCAATACACAAGTCAGCACCATTGACAGCAGCAGCTGCTGGCGGACATACACAATAAACTTCAGCACCTTGGAGAGCGCCCAGCGGCGGATGACTACCGTACACTTCAGCACCTTGGAGAGCGCCATGCGGCGGATGAATACCGTGCACTTCAGCACCTTGGCGAGCGCCATGCGGCGGATGAATATCGTGCACTTCAGCCCCTTGGAGAGCACCCGGCGACGAATGCATGCCGTGCACTTCAGCACCTCGGTGAGCCGCGGCGGATGAACACTACACACTTCAGCACGTTGGTGAGCTCCCGGCAGCGGATGAATACCATGCACTTCAACAACCCAGGAGAGCGCCTCAGCGCCGGATGAACACCATGAACTTCATCACCTTGGCGGGCGTTTAGACGGAGGGACATATTGCACTTCAGCACCTCGGAGAGCGGCGAAACACCGCGCAGACAAAATATGACACATTTGACTGACGTCTTGTTTATCCAATACGCCGGCCAACGGAGAAGGGGCGTGTCACGGCGCGGAGGGATCTCTGAGAAGCCCGCCCTGTAGGAGGAGCCCGGCAGGCTGGTGCAGCACTGCTTATAGAGAGCGGGCAGAAGCGGCTCAGTTCAGTCTCCGGCAGGCGGAGGGAGAGGAAGGGATCGGCTGTGGATTGTTCGTTCCCTTGGGTTCTGTCTATGAGGCTCCGGTACCCAAGGCTCTGCCAGGCTTCAGGATCTCTCTTGCTAATCTTCTCTTTCCCGGACTCTTCTTCTCGGCTTGTGTGCTCACCTTAGCAATGGAGAAGTATCTGCCCCAGCTGCTGGCTGAGAAGGACGCCCTGGACCCCTCCTTCACTCATGCGCTCAGGATGGTGACTGAAGGTGAGGGAGCTACAACTTCTACCATCACCCGGGTCCAACTGCAGCTGCTTGGGGCTCCTGACTCTCATTGAGACCATGGGCTCCTTGCAGCCTCATCCTTTAGGGTCCCCTCTCCATCCATGGACAGGGTATAGCAGGCAACCCATATTGCATGAGTCATTGCCCACCTTCAACCTCACATGCAATGACCCCTGGGGACCTAAGAGCAGGTTATAGGGCTGGGAGCACAGCATGGAATGGTGCCTTCCTTCCATGCTGCAATGATTAACTCCTGGTGCCCCTTGCTTTTAAAGATCATGGGTTCTAGCAGCCTCATGGGAATTTCTCTTGGGGCCCCTAAGATGAAGGTCCCTGCAGAAATGTAAACATGTACTCCTGGGGTTACTAATCTTAAAAGATTGTGGGTTCTAGCAGCCTCATGGGTCCTAGGTTCTAGCAGCCTCATGGGAATTTCTTATGGTGTTCCTAAGACACAAGGGTCCTTGCAGTAACTTAACAATGTACTCCTGGGGTTCCCAATTTTGAAAGATGATGGGTTCTGGCAGCCTCATGGGTCCTGGGTTCTTGTAGCCTCATGGGAATTTCTCTTAGGGCCCCTAAAATGAAGGTCCCTGCAGCAACTTAAAAATGTACTCCTGGGGTTCCTAATTTTGAAAGATCATGGGTTCTAGCATCCTGGTTTAGGGCTGAGAGCACAGCATTGAACAGTGTCTTGCTTCTACAGTGCAATGATTACCTGGTGGTGGCCCTAACTTTGAAAGATTATGGGTCTCAACAGCCTCTTTGGAGTCTACTCTTGGGCCCTCGTACGTCTTATACATATGAGGGTCCCTGCAGAAACTTAAAAAATGTACTCCTGGGACCCCTAAAGTCCAAAAGCTGGTACCCCTAAAGTCCAAAAGCCCTTGCAGGGAGTAGATCACTGGGGACATAATAGGCTGAGAGCACAGCATGGAACAGTTGCTACCAGACACTCATGGAGCCTGTAACTTTTAAGAAACCATGGGTTCTAGCAGCCTTGTGGGAATTTACTCTCGGGGCCCCTTACTGTTGCACAGGCAAAGGTTCTTGCAGAGTCATATAAATTTACTCATGGGACCCCTAATGTGCAAAATCTAAGAGGGACATGCTTGGTATAGATCACTGAAGATGACTTCTGAGGGAACCTAAGAATGGGATATAGTGCTGAGAGCGTAGTATGGGACAGTGGCTACATACCACATTGTAGAGATTACCTCTTTCAGCCTGTAACTTTTATAAAACATCATGGATCCCAGGGAAATTACTCTTGAAGCTCCTAAGTGTTACAAAGATGAGGGTCCTTGAAGAATTTTACTACTGGGGCCCCTAACATACAAACACCAAAACCACATGCAGTTAGTAGATCATTGGGTTACAGTCTAAGGTTTTAGAGCAAAGGGCCAGGTAGCCAGTGAGTCTTAAAATTACCACTGGTGCCTAACGTTTCCAAGCCCTTTCTTTTGTATTTATTGGAAGAACATGTAATCTGGACACTCCGTGTCTGGTAGCTCTAGACATGAACTGACTGGCTCTTGAATTCAATTATAATGTGTCCATTCCTGCTGTGTAAAGCAACAACTACCCTAAAGACAAGATGCCAATATGCCAGCTGCAGTATCATAGCAAATGACTTCTGAGGAACCCAAATGTTACAATCCAGAGGCCTTTGCATTCTTATATAGACTGAGTAGTGGAGTCCTACATTTTTATAAAGGCTGGGGTTTATCTACAGCCACATGGTCCTCTACTTCTAAAGCCCCTAACCCTTTTAAAGACCAGGGGCCCGTTTCAGCATAATAGTGTGAGTCACGGGACTCCTAAATCTTAAGTCAATAGGCAATATGGAGATTAGGTTTTGGTGTACCCAGCTTTTCCATTGTCCAGGGGTTCTTGGATGTGGGGGCCCCTAACACTTAAAAGACTAAGTGCCACTCCAGCTTTACATTCATTGACTGCTAGGGACAGGTTTGAAATAGCTGGGTAGACTGTGGGCCATATGCAGACATAAGGGGGATTGACTGTGTATCCCCATCTCATGATTTAGAAAGAAGTAGTGATTTCTGGTCTGGAAACCATATCTAGCCTTGGTGAAATCGTTTTTTTTTTTTTTTGGAGCCATAAGCTTAGTGACTAGCAAACACGGCATGGTCCATTTCAACCTACAGTCATTTGTTCCCAGGGTTCCTACGCAGAGCCTTTAGAAATGTAACCCTTCATGTACATTAAACTAATGCTTCCAAGCATTTGGCGGGATGCCAAGTATTGATATGCAATGGGTAAGTTCCCAAAATGGTAGTTCCTAACTTAATCAGATTAGGCAAAACCATATGCTCCCTGCATTCTGCGTACTGTCTATCTCCTGGTACCCCTAGCGTTGATCTGAGAACATATTCCTAAAGTGACATCATCTGATGAATGTATTCTTAAAGACTGTAGCATCCTCTGGCTCAGGGATCCCCAGTTTTTGTTATAGTCTGTATGGATATAGCATTAGCACGGTTTGAACATTCATATCCATGAAGTCCCTGTTGATGTTCTAATGTTCCATCCTCTGCTGTAGTTATTCTGTACGGCCTGCACATTACCTACAAGTGCACTATGTAGGCTGCTCAGGAGACCTCTATAGGTTGAACTCGATGGGCTCTATAGGTTGAACTCGACGGACTTGTGTCTCTTTTCAACCTGACTAACTATGTAAGACCTCCCGGGACGTAGCATTCTTTTCTACCAGATTCCCCCCAATGAGTTTTTATGGCTGTTGAAACTTTTGGCTGCTCCATTGAAGCATTGTGTGGAAAGATAGGAAGGCTGCAGACCAGCCAGCATGACATGCTTATCATTTATGCATTGCTGTAATGATTTCATACTTTTTTTGTACATATTTATGACATGCATGCATATTAAATTCCATCGGATGATTCCAAGAGGCCATTTGTTGATTTATTTATTTCCTACTTAACGCTTAAAATCCCTGGGGCGAGCCAAAACCTTGCAGCTGTCTTTGTCAGCACAGGCTGCATACAACATTCACGTCAAGCTCCAATCCCGTTAGCTTTATTTATTTTTTGGAGTGTAGATCATGTGACCATTGCCTTTTACTTCCAAATCATGAGCCGATAGGATCTGGAAGACTTTAAATGCCTTTTGTCAGATCCTTACACCATGTTTGGCAGTGTCATCCTCTGCCGGTGGAAGTCCTGTAGATGCCTGTAACCGATCTCACAGCCTTCCACACGTACTGCCTGCCGTACGGGGAGTATATAATTTCTCATCTGTGTGTTTGGAGGTGGAAGGCTAATCATTAAAATCAGGTTTCCTTTCTGTTCGGTGGTTTTAATAGGCGGCTGGTGGAAGTTAGCACCGTCGAATTCCCCATAGGTGTTTCGGAGTGCTATTTCGGAGATTAGGCTGCAATTAAAACCTTGTTGCTGATTGCAAGCTGTTCCTATGTTCATGTGTGCGTATGTGCGTGCAGAATCTTTGTTTCAAAGCGAATAATGCAGGCATCTGTTGTGTGTGTGCGTGTGCTGTTACATATTTCAGGACAATACATTCTTGTGAAATCCTTAGTGCGTGCTTTTCTGCAACTGGAATGACCTCTTGTGGACTGTTTGTTATTTCATCTGAATCGAGTATGACTGCATCTCTGTAGCTGCCTTCACTCCATGTAGTGCATCATTGTTCACAGAGCCATCAGTCGCTGCTTCCATCTGCGTTCATCTGCTCGTTACCAGCCCAATTAGAAAATCACCAACCTTCAATATTGAAGCCTTGCTTAGGCCTGTCTAGACTCTGAACTCCACAAACATGTGCAGTTTACACTTATAAATATGGTGCCGAGCAGTTTTCGCACAGACGTTATCACTCTGTCATTTTGCAAGCTCAGTCTTGTTATGATTGCGTTCGTTGTGGAGCTTCGCACAAACTGGCAGGTCTCTGCATTTTGCTGAGGCGGAATGGTGAGCTCCGATGGCTTCTTAGGATCGCGCCCTTGGTAATTGGTTATGCTACAGTCTCGCATGTATTATATATCGTGGATATGTTCGCGACATTGGTTTTGAATTTTTTTTTTTTTTTCACCAATTAATGAGCACGCTTTTGGGTGAGGTACATCGGTAACTGGAACAAACAATGGGAAGATGTAGCGATAGTGTCTGCATAATGCTTTAATTGACCTGCTGCTGTTTTGCATTCGATTACACTTGCAGCTGCATTTTCCTGCCGTGTGGAAGGTCCTGTGTGAGGGGAATGCCGGAGGAAGAGTAGAAACACAATGTCATTGTTAAATACAATACAATTAAATACACCCCCCCCCCCCCC